GATATAAGTAAATTGATTCTTTGGGTACAGTTTCCTTTAAGTTCTGAATATGCTGTCTCCAGATAAGCTTTTTATCAAAGGTGATACCAAGAAGTGTCAAATAATTAACTGTTTGTAAAACGAAGTCCGTTTTAGAGTTATAGAAGTGGGGATTAGGTCTATGCTTTTTGGTAAAGGTGAATTACTTTGGATTTAGGTGCTGAAAACAACAAATCCAGCACGCGCAGACCAGGTGTCTATTTTGTTTATTAGTGTTTTGTTAGCAAAGTGCATTGTGGTAGCTGTGACTCTGCCGCGGCAGTATATTATATATCATCAGCATATATCGAGTACCTGGACTGGTGGTTCTATAATGAGGTAAAAGTTCATTCATGCTAAGTAAAAATAAGGTAGTGCTTAGACATGAGCCCTGAGGCAAACCGTTGTCCAAAGCGATGTGGTTTGTATATTTTTCCATTTGTTAATACTGCTAAAATATCGACTTGGTTAAAAAATTTTTTAAAAATTAAATAAATGTTACCAGTTTAAATTATATTCGTTAATTTTTATAGAATTAGAGGTCTTTGTACACTGTGTCGAAGGCACTTTGGATATCTAAAGTTTACTGCTATGACTTCGCTTCTATTCGAAAATGCATTAACAATGTCGTATGTAATGTGACAGAGTTTATCCATTTGTACTTCGTTTGATCTGAAACTGTTTGGACTTGGGTCAAGAATATTATTTCTTTCTAGTACCATTAGTAAGCGTTTATTGACTATCTTTTCTAACAGTTTACATAGTGAACAAGTGAGAGAATTGGTCTATATGATTTTAGAAGATTTGGAGATGGTATTCTTTTTAATAGGAATTGTAGTTGCTTGTCGCATAACGTTGGGAACTGGGTTTTGAGACCAGTTCTTTTTATCTAACTCTAGCAGTTTGAGATGTCGTGTCTGGATCGAGATTTTTTTTTTAAAAAATTATTGAGGGATATCGTCAGGGAACCGGCTGCTGAGTTTTGTATTGATGATAATGGCTTCGTTTATTTCTAGGAGATTTAAAGGGAAGATTCTTTAGCAAGCTGGTGTTTAGACAAGTATTTTGGGAGGACTGAGAATTGTTCGGTATCTGAGTTATTTGGGAAGATTCGGGATATATTTGACTCTTATCTGATAAGTGAGAGGCAAAGATATATGCAATATGTTGATCTTCGGTAACGGTTATGCTCCTGCAGGGCGATGGCGGCTATTTTGCTGGAATGGTATTATGGACCTTTCATACGTCTTATCTTTGACCACCTTGTTGCGCGGGATGAAGTATCTTTTGTGATTTTGAACTAACGTAATTGATTCCATGAGGACTTTCTTACTTTCTTTTAAAATACGCCTAGGAATTAGGCCCTAAGTTTTTTAAAATTTTATTTAAATTCCGTGGTGGTACGGGTCTTCCGGTATTTATTTAATGCTTTTTTGCATTGTCAAACTCTTTAATCAAAAAGCGAATCAATGTACATTTTTCTCTCGATTAAAGCACATGCAGGATTTGAAACATATGTCGACTTAATAGAAAATTAACGCATTTCAATCGATACTAGTGTGTGCATACTCTTCTGTGTGTTTGACTGTGTTGGGTCTTGTTTCTAATGCGTAATCAGGCGATTCCTGATATCATCTCATAGTTTATGTGTCGGTTACGCCATTACAGTGTTATTAAGGCCTCCTGCTAATCTATTTGCCCTTCGTATTTGATCTCTTACTTTTTTTTAACTCTCCATAGCCGGACAGTGTAACACCTAGGTAATTTGTTTCGATTACTTGTTCAATGCTATCTTCATTGACTTCCAGTTTACATATTGGGTCTTTAGTGGTTAGTATTGTTTTAGTTTTGTGTGTTGATATCGGCATGTTAAATTCTTTTGCTCTTGCATTGAATCTGTAAACCACTCTTTGAAAGTTTCTAGAAGATGATAACTAAATAATGCTCCCGGGGAAAAACTTCCTATTAGCAGGTGTATGTTGCTGCGATACACTATTTATAATATGGTGTAGGATTCCTACTTAAGGAGTGAAAGATGTGAAGAGTTTGTTAGTCGAACTAACCAATCAGATAGATAGGAATTTAGAATTTTCAGAAGGGAATCGGCAGTCCAGCTTGGTTAAGTTTTTCGATCAATCTAGATGCCAGATCTCATAGAAAGTGTTGTGGACGTGAGTAAAGATGCCAAGTGCGTTTCTCTGTGGTATTTCAATTAATAGCTTTGAACCACTGACTATACCACCAGTACCTTTTTTTATCTTCTTGATTTGTCCTTTAAGTATGTAACCAGAGAACTTACGAACACAGAAGAGAAGCGAAACGAGGCCCGGAATTCGTGTATCTTTTCTGTATACGCATGACCCAAATAAGGTGCTTTACTGTCAAAAAACACGTGCGTTTTCTTTAACTTTAGTCGCTTACAAAGGTCATAGGCATCTGTGGTAACTCTCGACTATACAAGTGCATTCACCATTTATCTAATTTACTTAGTAGTTAAAAGTTTATAGTTATAGTTTATAGTCATAGTTTAAATATATTTAAGTTAAATATATAAGTGTTATAGTTTTTAGTTTTTCAGTTAAATGTTTAATTTTATTAAGTATTTAAAATGTCTTCTGGTTTTTGTTTGTGCGTTTCGCGGATGTTCATCTATGTGCAGGAATCTGGTTATATAGTACAGTGTATTTGAAAATGGAATTATAAACTCATCAAGCAAAAGCTCGCCGAAAAGTCAAAAGAGTGTTTCTCTAACATCTCGGCCCACCTCTGACTGCTGAGCCTATAATAATCTGGTTGGTTTTGAGTTTCATATACTCATTTTTATATATATATATATATATATCTTATATATTATATTTATATATGGTTTTATATTCTGTCGTTTGCGTATTTCAAGACTTGCTTCCTTACAGCTGCTACATACAATACACTGTTAATTATTGTCTTGCACAATCTTCTGAAGAGTTGGAAGCTAGGGAGTACTGTCATCGTCCCGCAATATCGCCAAAACTTAGTTATTGAAGTCACTGTTCATAATTATTCTTCTTGTTTTTCAGAAAGTGCATTTTGAACGTTCTTTGGAGGTAAACGGCGATGTGATTCCAAACCGTCTACTAAAAACTTATGTTTCATTCCAATTACAACTTTGCAATTATGCGAAGTCTCTGCCATCCAACCAATGTTTCTTAGAAACTTCGATCATATAGAGTACTTAATACGATCAAATGCCTTTCGGAAGTCAATAAAAATAAAAAACAATTTGGCGTACAACAGTACGCCAACGAAAATATGTAATCCACCATTTTGTTGGCGCCATTTTGGATTTTCTGTAATGAACTCTTTTCTACTAGTCAAACCCTTTCATTTGATACCATATTGAAGTAGTTGTGAAAAAATAAGTAATCCGCTATTGTGTAGCGGCGTCCTACTTTGGATATATCTGATGTTAGTGTATGTATAGTCGATTCGCTAATCTCAGACACAACTATCTAGTATTTTAGTAATTATTTTATTGCGAAAGTTAGTTACATTTTAACTGACTAGAACTGGATGATAATTACTATATTTACAACCAAGCACCTATGCCATAGCCAATATTAAGAGTATACAGACTAAATTTACTCCAATCAATCATTATTTATTTACACCATAATATAATTCACAACAGACAACGGAAAGATTTTGACCAATAATTTAAGGTAAATGCTCCAAATATACATTTCTACTTCAAGAAGTTAAAGGTTACGGAGTACCAGCAAGCTTTTACGTTTCATATCCATTGGATTATAAAAATGAAGTTCTCAATCCAGTATCTGGCTGAAGGTTCAATGGTTCGTCGTTTTGCTTCAAGTATAAGACTTGTACTAACCACGTTAACAACAAAACCAGAAATAATTGTTACAAATCCGGCTTAGGCCAACTAGATACTACAAATAATTTTAAAGGCAATACCAATCTACTAAAAATCGTATGTATTAATTCTGAATCTATTGTAAACAAAATAAATTGTATCGAAATATTAGTTTAAACTGAAAGTCTGGATTTACTATGTATATCCGAATCATGTGTAATGACAATAATATAAATTCGTTTTATCTTCCTAATGCTCTCTTGTAATGATTCGTAATACTTTTTTGATTATTTTTTAGGTTATTACATTTTTATATTTATAGAAATATACTCGTACAATAGTTACTTCTTGATTTTTTATTCGTTTTAGTCGAATATCGTTTATTCCAATATTCGACTTTAAAGGAAAAATGTAATTTTAATTGGTTTCCAAGACATTTAACAATCGATATCAATATAAAGTTTCTTGTTTCTCAGTCTCACCCAAAGAGAATTGGAATTTTTAGAGTTTGTGAAATTTCCGTGGCAGTTACAATGGCTTTGTTATTTTTCGATTATATTACGAAACATATTTATTAGGAAATTCCACGACGAACAAATTATATCTTGTATCAACACAAGCCAAAAAGAATCAGGTGTATTATTGTATTATCAACGTCAACATCAGAATAAACAAAAAAGTATTTTCATCTATGGTTCCATCAATACGATTTTCACCATTACTTTGCGTTGTGCGATGTATTTGCAACCTTTTGTAAATCAAAAATAATTACACCATTTAGAATGTCAACAAAAGCGGCCCTGCATGTAATCATTTTTTCAGTGCAATATTTCATATTTATTGAAAGTCAACATAAATGCTCAATTTTATTTAAGAATTTATATTGTGTAATATGCCCATGATATTAGAAAATAAGGTGCTTTCCTGTCATTTTCATCGTTGGCGGCTTGCCCACGCAAGATCAAAGGAGTGTCGTTTCTCTGCGTTCGTAGTTCTCTGTATGAACTAAGACGCCTTTATTACTTAAAGGGTTAGGTAAATCCACAAAATAAACACCCGTTTTGTTATTTGAAAAATGTAAAAAAAAATTTAAATCATTTATTACTTTATTAAAATTTTTAAAACATTTCAGACCATCTCCGAGACCCCATACTTCAGCCATCGACAGGTTAGCAACGATGTCTCCCGCTGCAAGGAAACTAGCGACATCGCGACTTAAACTCGGAGTCAGTTCAGACTTAAGATCACTATATTCACCTAGTCCAATGGCGAAATGTCAGAAGACTCCAACCCCATCGCCGAGAAGAGCATCTACTCCATTGGTTAACCTAAAAAATAAGAAGGCTGCAGAAGTTTCTACGGATGATTTATTGAAAATTGAAGTTCCTAAGAGGATTCTTAAAAGGAAAACGGCAGCAGACTTTTTTTAAATGTATATATATATATATATATATATATATATATATATATATATATATATATATATATATATATATATATTTGTTTTATTTATTTATTGTACAGATAATAAAGTATTTTTGAATTTGATGACTCATTTAATTTTAATTGACTGATTTTTATTTTCTATATATGTTAATAACAAAAGAGGATACAGAATAAGCAAACAGTTTTCAGAAAACCAACCCACACCAACAGATATTTAAATTACCACCCAAACCAAAACACAAACATCAAAAGGGGAATTATCAAATCATTATATGATAGAGCCCAAAACACCCTGTTCTAATGAAAATGCATTTCAGAAAGAAAAAACTTGCTAACAAAGGTTTTAACCTAAAATAATTACACATTGTCACTTATAAACAAGGAATTTTACCAAAATTAAAGAAAAGGAAACAACAAAACACCATAGTTAATTCAGAAATGCTCACAAGAAGGGATTTGAACAACAATAAAGAATACCATATATGGAAACGGCTTATCTGAAAAATTAAAAAGATAGGTAATAAGTAACAAAACCAAATCTAACAACACACAAGAGAGACCAAGGAATTGCATCTATAAAATACCCTGTAAATGCAACAGTTTTTATGTTCGACAAACCGCAAAATGACTAGGTGTCAGGATAGACGAGCATGAAACATACATCAAAAACAGAGACTTCGACAAATCACAGACATGCAAATATGCCTGGTACAATGAGCACAAAGTACAATGGAAACGTGCATTAATAATAGTCATAAAACAACCAGACATGAAAAAGAGGAAAATGTAAGAAGCTATTATCTTAGTTAATGAGGAAAATGCGTAGCAAACAAACCCATCAGCTTATTGTAGCAGGCTCTTGTTGCCAATACTAAAAGAAGTCAGCAACATTAGCGGAGTAATAGAAAGTTAGAATTACATCATCTACAATTATACATATACATTACATAAACATAATATACAAACACAAAACAATCATAATTGGATATTATCCTGAGGGTACAAACGCCACCTTCAGAAGTTTTAACCAAAAGCAGGGCTATTTGAGAGCCACCCGTCAATTTGAAAAACATAACCGTCAAACACTATTGGTTATCAACTACAAAAAGCAAATAGTTTATCAGTATGGCTTAATAACACTATATGGCAAAAACCGACATATTAACACTTAGCTGAAGTAAAAAATTTATAAAACCAGTCATGATATATGTATTAGGCAGAGAACTGAGAAGAATTCCAGGAGATGCGCTGAGAGATCAAAGAGTGAAGACATTAGAAAAAAATGTAGCGTACAGTGTATATACGAATGGACACTAAACAGAAAAAAGAATGGAATAACCACATAAGCAGAACTGTGTGAACATTGAGGTCAAAATGGCAAAAAATATATCTACAATCGATAAAAGAAGTATTAGTTGAAGGTATCAATCTGCCAATGCACAATCATAATTTCTTATAAAGAGAAGAAGAACTATTGGTTATAATAACAGCTTACTAATTTAAAATGATGAAGTTGAAACAATTTAAAATGTAATTTTCGTTACAATTAATTGTGGCTTAATCCCATATGAACAATATTTTTTAGGACTTGCAACAGGAGAACCCATTTGATAACTTTTGGTTCAACTGTTAACGATACTTTGTTGTGAACTACCAGTATAGAGAATGTATGAACTTTTACGTTAAAAAAAAACACTAAATAAACAAGAAATTATACAGAGTACCCTAATTCTACACAGTCCGGCAGCAAATCGGGCGATTTTGAAATTACTTTAATTTGTTTACAACTTACACATGATTGCTACAGTTCACAGCTGACAAAATGATTTTTACAGCTTTTGAATGAAAAAGAATATAACTTCTGGTGAAAAATACAGAAAATTTTCTATATTGTTTGTTTTAGAACTTAAAGCGTAAAAATTCTGATACACCAGTTAATCCTACTCTTCTAGAACAAGCCGAGCAGATGAAAGCAGCAGGGATTTGCGATTGGAAGAACTGTCAACTTCAGTGAAGGTGCAGTTCGAAAAAGTCTGAAAATTGGTACTGGTATAAAATCACTTAGTTGATTCAAACAAGTTCTTATTCATAAACAAGAATTTGAAGTGGTGCAACATTGCAGTGATCTCGATCTTCGATTTTATGGGTTGACTTTCAAATGTCTCAGATTCCTATGCTCAAAGGAATAATTTGAAGAATCCTTTCAATATGATTAGACAATTAGCTGGTTCGTGACTGGACAAGGGATTTCATGAAGAGGAACAAATTATCATTGAAAATTCCGAGAAAAACAAGTGTGGCAAGAACAACGTGGTTTAATATAGTTCAGTTGGCAACACATTTTCAATATTTGAAGTCCCTTACAAATATATAATATGGATGAAAGTGGTTTTCACACAGTTGCACACAAGCTTCCAAGGCACATTGCTTCTGTTGGTAAGAGGGAGGAAGCCGAAAAATGTTGCATCAGAGCAAGGGAAGCAATGACATTAGCTTACTCAATGAGTACTTCTGGTAATTTTGTATGTCCATTTTTAATTTTGCTGAGCTTGCAGTTTTCAAATGCTAAGTCTGCCTTTACATAGTAGCCACCGCACTCAGCCATTAGATAGGAATTTCTTCAGACCTATAACCTATGAAAGCCTATTGTGACGATTTTTGTTATAATTGGACTACAAACCATGCTGGTCAATCTTTGACAAAATACAAGGTGGCTAGTTTGGTCAGGCGGGCATTTGAGAAATCAACTTCACTAGATAAAGTCACAGATGGATTTTGAATGTGTGCATTCACCCATTTGATGAACATCGATTCAATGATGAAGACGTCCTGTCTTCCACTTTAACTGATAAAGATGAAATGGATAATATTGATTGAAAATGACAGTGATCTCCACTGTTTTATTTCTTTTGGCGAAGAAGGGGCAGAAAGAGGTGATGAGCACGCTGATTAATCAAGGGGAGAAGAAGAGGGAATAATAGAAGAAGAAAAGAGAATTGAAATAGTATTGAAAATAGTACTGAGATTGCAAATGGAGAAACTGTGAAGAAGCAGAAAAAGGCGAAAAAGAGATAATTAGAGAAATAAAGCGTAGAAAGAAATAGAGCTGAATCTTCCCACCTGTTGTAATTTCCCCTGTAGACATTCTTCTGCCTAAAATCTCAGTACAACAGAAATGGTCTGGAAGAGGCTTGAAGTTGACAATGCTCACATGAATTCCAAATAAAGAGAGGTTGGAAAGTTGAGAGGAAGAAAAAAAAACAATTGAGAAAGAATAGGACTACAGCTTTTTGTAAACAATTATAAAAAATGAGGGTTAAAGAAATGTTTATCCTACAAATAATACGGAATCTGAAACTGAAATACCCATACATGATGATTCTGATACACCAGAATCATGTGAAAATGATTTAGATTCTGAAAATATGAAATTCAAGTCTGGCGAGTAGTAGTAAGAGTATATACCGAAGATGAGAGATAATTCAGACTGTATGTTGCCAAAATTAACAAGATTATTTACAATGAATACGAGGGTGTCTTTTTTAAAATAGCTTAGAATACCATGATTTATTTATTTATCGTATGGCAATTACAACACATTTAGAACAAATTACAAACACTAGTAATATAGGTATATGACAAACTTTAAATAGTTACAAACAAACATCAAGTGTATTAACATAATCAATTGACTCTGAAGTTGCAAACAGGAATTCTTCAGGGCTACCATTGTAGGATCTTGAGGGACACTCTTCAATAATGTGGTCGATCGTTTGGTTCTTCCCACAGTCATATTGAGGAGACGGATTCTTTCCCCATTTATGTAGCATATATGCACATCTGCCATGTCTGGTTCGGATCCTGTTTAGAGTGGACCATGTTTTACGTGGAAGATCAAAACCTGGTGGCTTGTGGGTAATGCAGGGCATGTTATTTTGCCATGCATTCCATTCTTGGGACCATGCATTCGTGATGTTGAACTCCTCATGTATCATTCTTGCCGTTTTCATTGGTAGTTTTTTAGAACATAGACGGGTATTTCGTGCATCCTCGGTATCTTGGTGGATCGGCAGGTTTATATTGTTCATGATCTTTTTGTATTCACGTGTAAGTGCGTCAACTAGTCGTAAATGTGGAGGTGGAATGTGACTTGATACTGGAAGCCATTGGGTGGGAGTTGATTTAATTGTACCAGCTATCATCCATGAATACCATGAGATTCATGGAGACAGATGAAGAGGTGTATTTTTCAAAATTAGGCATTGTTTGGAAGCTATCTAAATCAGTAGCTATACTAGTACTATTGCAAGATTCAAAAATATGTTATATATCAGTATATATCTCAGTGTGTAATGTTTCAAATGTATGGTATTCTTCAATCTTTTCCACATAGTTTTTTTAGTGTGAGTATTCCAAGGATAATCTCTTATTTTTGTAATTGTATATTATTCTACTTTCAATAGTCGATCCAACATAATCTTAACAAAGCTGCTAACATTACCAGGAATGAAATTTACCAATTCATTGGAATCAGTTTATTTACGTCACTTATAAAATTATCTTCAAGTAGACCATACTGGAATTCTATCCTACTACAACCTCCATCCACACTCGTGTGTTAGAAGCCAGGTAACTCATGCAGTGCATACCAAATCATTTTAGCTTTATTCTATACAAAGAAATATGGTTTATTTTTTATTTAAAGAATTTGATTATGTAACCTAATACAGTGTTAAGTAACACAAAATAAATCTTGTCCATAAAAAAGCGGTCTGAATGGCCGTGTCATTTGCATGCAAAATATCAACAGAGAATGCAGGGTTTCAGAGCAGATAAGTAAATGTACTGAATGTTGCAGAGAGTAATATTCACATTTGTGAATATTACGTGAAGTCATCACTTAATTGTCCCTAGTTCTCCAGGTTGGTTTTGCAATTCTTTGTATTCTTGCTTATTAAGAAAGAAGGAGCAACACACTTCAGTTTTTCCAAAATTTTACTTGATATAGATAGAAGTGTAGTAGGTTACCATAATTTTCAAGATTTCAGTTATCA